GGGGGCAGTGTGTGGTATGGGGTATGGGGGGGCAGTGTGTGTAATTGGGGGGAAGGAGGCTTTTAAATAATATTTTTTTTTAATTTTATTTAATAAAATAAATATCCTATGTCCCCCCTCCCTTCTTACCTTTACTGGGGAGGAGGGGGGACATATTTCGATCCCTGGTGGTCCCAGTGGTGATTCCCTGGTGGTCCCAGTGGTTACAGTGAACTCTAGCCCGCGCTCGGGCTAGAGTTCACTCTCGCGAGATTTGGAGCGTTGCCGTGGTAACCGCGGCAACGCTCCAAATCTCGAGGGAGGAGGACCCGGAGGAGCTGCAGGCTGAGCTCCCGGGTCCTCTCTCCTCCCTCTCCCTCCCCTGCCGGCTGTAAGCACAGTGCCTGCGGACCGGGGAGGGAGATCTCTGATCTTCCTCCACGGTCCGCAGGCACATTGCAGGGCTGGCAGGGGAGGGAGACCGGCGGATTTCTCGGGGGGGGCAATTGCCCCGTTGCCCCCCCCCTGGATCCGCCAATGCCACCCAGTGCTAATAGGATTATTACTATATATCTATAACAATGTGATTTTGTTAAGGACCTTTGCTTTATGTCCTTCGCTTGTATTATTTTGTATTCTGTATGCATTATGTGATTTATGCCAGTCTATATAGATTCAGGGATACATTGGTTCTTTGCTCTGCTGCTTGAGTGTTTGAGTTATTTATGTATTTATTTATGTGTTCATGTTGGACTAGACTGGGAGTATACCAGTCATTCTCGGTACCCTCTTCTCACTACAGCTCTACTTAGTGGCTATACTTGTATCTTCTTGTGGTTGTGCATTACGTTCTTTTCCCCATAGGTTTAGTTGGTGGATATTTAATCACATTTATCTGGTATCGTCTTTTCATGTTTTCTCCCTTTTTTGACTAAGACGTTCTGACATTTATCCTTTACTACTCTTTTTACCTGTATAATGATATCTAAGGATTCGGAGTGATACATTACTCTTGGTACAATTATGCTTTCAATTGCTGTTTGTTGGTACTTTGCCCCCTGTAGTTAGATTGGAATCTCTGCAGGTTTGATTGCTCATGCCTGCATTTTTGTATTTGTAGTATAAGTTACATGTCTTCTTTATGCATTATCTATTCCTTAGGTAGTACCGTTTGTATATTTATATCTTGTTAATAGGTTGCTACAGGCTAATTGCAGTTTGATCGCTTTTCGATTAGTTCTGCCTGCTGTCTATCTCTAACGTGTTCTCTA